CCGCATAATGAAAGTTGAGGTGGGACACTACATTTGCCCATTTGGACTTTTGATTATTCGCAGATCATGAGATCATGACAGACTTGTCAAAGGAAAGAGGACAATTTATTCAAGAATATGTAAACGAATGACAGGAAGTAATAGAAGACTTGAGAGAGAAGAGAGAAGAGAGAGAAGAGAGGGAGGGCCGAAGCCAAGAAAGATAAGGGAGAGTTCCAAAAGCGGCCTGGACGCGACGACTCCGGGGCGATACGAAACATGACAGGCCAGACTGGAACTTCTTCAACGGTAAAGTGGGCCCAGTTCGGTCTGCATTAGGAAAAGTGTGGTAATTTATTGGTAATATAACTGTATGTAACAAAGTTTCTTTTTTTTTTTTTTTTTTTTTTGAACTTTTTAGCTTATTTCCAAACTTGGAATTATAGGATTATTTCAATGTACACTCCATACAATATGAACGGAGTAATAGTATATATATATATATATATATATATATATATACAGTCGAATGTCTACAATATTGTACAATATATTAAAATCTCTCTATATTGTACTCCGTACTATATTCTAGTGTACACTTATTTTCTTGCAGATATGTACACGTCTGCGGCATGCAGATCACGTTGTTTTGATCTTGACAGGGACAGTTCCACTGAAGATCTTGACTATCTCAACTTCATTTATTATAGTATTGTATGATAATATATATAAGTTGTACGTACAGAGTATATAGTACATTGGCAATCGGATATGTATTCCAGCCTCGTCATAGAAAAAAAAAATTGACCCTACAGGGCTTACACTAAAACACTGAGGGGAGAGTATACGTCACCCCCTTCCCCGGCCTTGGAAGCCGGAGTGTTGCGTCACTATGGGTGAACAAGGGTACTTTGTATGTCTTGGCCAAGACTTTTTATGTTTTCCCCAATATTCCCAGTAATATGTGTAGAGAAATGACTACCGGTTGGTACATATACATGCACATATGTATCAACTCAGATTCTGTTCAAATTCCAAGTCACAAGTTTTCTTCTTAGATATCTCTCATTAAGATATTGGTAGAAAATAAATAATAATAATAAAAGCTTAGAAATTAAAATAGAAATGTTGAAGTAATAAAACAATGTGGATCCGAGACAAGTTGCATGTTCTACACATACAACATACAATTATGGGGTTTCAAGTCACGAGGCTGTACAAATTACGGGGTAACCCGATCACTTCTTCGTTTCCTGAGGACTAACCACTACAGGAACCTGTCCATTAAGCACGCTCGGGGATGAAGACCCACAGATATCTCGGAGCGCCCGCTCACCAATCTGCTCATCGATAAAGTGCGAACGGTCCAAGCCAATCATTTCCACCTCCTCATGCACGCGCAATTGCATCCCCGGCAAGAACTTGAGAATGTAGAGTAGGACACACGAAACAATGAAAGAATATGCCGAGATAGCACACACCTCAGCCAATTGTTTTCCAACTTGCACTCCATTGCCATCAATCCCCCCTCTGGCTTCGGTCACGCCATCCAACGCCGCAATAGACTGCGACGCAAAGATCCCCGTGAGGAATGCCCCCACCATCCCGCCGATACCGTGTAGCTTGAATACATCCATCCCCTCGTCTATGTGTAACCACTCGTTGATGTCTTGGAGGAGAGCGCAAACGATGCTCGTGAAGAACCCGATAAGGGCAGCAAGCCATACGGACACAAATCCGGCGGCTGGCGTGATGCCAACGAGCCCGGCGATTGCGCCTTCGCACGCTCCTACTATAGAGAACCTCCCACGGTGCTTGATATAGTCGACCAGCACCCATCCTAGTACTCCCGTGCAAGCCGCAGTGTTGGTGTTAAATGCCGCTAGCATTGCCCGCACGCTAGCATTGAGAGTCGAGCCGCCCTAAAAAGAATATCTGTCAGGATGAGTTAAGAGAGGCGTGGGGAAAAGTCACATGTGTGACATACATTGAACCCAAACCATCCAAACCAGATCAGGCTCGTCCCCAAGAAGACCAAGGTGGTGTTGTGGGGCTTCGCATGTGAAGGCTGGTCGATATTCTTACGTTTTCCCAGAACAAATGCATAAGCCAATGCGGACCAGCCAGATGCGATGTGAACCGGGCCGCCACCGGCGAAATCAAGCGACGGGAGGTTGTACAGCCACCCGTTGCTATTCCAGGTCCAACAGGCCAGGGGGCAATAGACGACAGTCGCCCAGCAGAAACTAAAGATCAGCGAGGGAATCATATTACCTCGTTCGAATGCCCCGCCAACGACAATCATAACCTATCAAGATTCCATTAGCTTTAATTCCGCGACATTGTGTTGTCAAGTGTTACTTACCGTGCACGCGCAGAATAGAAGTTGATAAAAGCAGAATACAATCTCAGGGAGATCGGCCGAGCCAGGCGATGGTGCTACCATCACACCTCTCAGACCAAAGTTCTTAAGGGTTCCGATGAATGGACTTGCATCCCGTGCATAGGCCAATGAGTAACCCCAGAATATCCATTGGAACGTTGTTCTAGTGGGATCCTTTGTGTCAGCACGACGTACGCTAGTGTTTTGAAGAAGACATCAACATACACAGCCACAATCATGAACGCCTGGAAGAGTAAAGCCAGTGCTGATTTTCTCCGTGCAAGGCCACTGTAAAGAAGACCAATTCCGGGGATGATCAACCAAACAATGAACGAGCAAAGGATGATATAGGTATAGTTCCACTCGACGCCTGCATATTGAGCATTTACATCGACCTTGAGTGGATCTCCACCTGTTGGGGTAGACGCATTGTATACTGGCTATATTATATGATTGCGTTAGCTATTTTCATGTAATTCCAATCATACTAGACTTACAGAGTCGGCCATAATGAGAACTAGAATGGATCGCTCCTAGATCCTTCTTTGGTTCAGGGTCCACAGCACATATATTCTCTGGTAGAGTGGACCTTCACATAGCTCATAGTAGCCAGAGCAAAGATTCCCAAGCCTCTTATCTATGTCATGACAGCAGCCAAGACTCCGTTGTATCAATGGGGAGCTTTGGATCTATAGTAGTCGCTCACAGTTCATGGGAAATACCCAACTCCCCTGAATTTCTATGACTGTCAGATTAGTTTTTTTACGATAAGGGAACTTGATTCCATCTGATCTAAGATAACGATCCGAGAAAATGAGTTTAATAGCGTTTCAATCATCCAATGACGTCTTGTTCTCCTGTTGACCCCGGATCTTACATCCCTCTAGGGCTTAGGCTCTTGTTATCACCTATCTTATCTGGGGAATGGTCTTGGCATACGGCTTACACATGTCTTAGAATATGACCTCGGGAATACTTATACTATAGCTATTCGTGGAAATGATACGGAGTAGTCTCTCTTACACAGAGTATTAAAGGGAGTGTTTGATTATAAACAGGGTGGGGTGTCAAACGGGGGCCGAGGTTGTAGTATATGTATGTATGTTGCATAAATGCCTCCATAGCCCCATATTCCTTGCGGCTCTAATAGTTCTATTCTCTTTAGCCCTTGGTGATCACAGCAAATGAACTGCGAATTATGCCACGGCCAAAACAAACATCGTGATTATAAATAACATTCCTTGCATATATTTACACCCTTCCTGCTAAGATTTCATAATGAATATTGAAACTCCTTCAGGCAAAGATACAACGATCAAATCATGATTACACCATTAGGCACCAAATGACATGTTGGAATGATTCAATTCTCGACTTGGGCTCCTGGCTGTCTATTGTCTTAGATCCGTGCCCCGCAGTAACCTCTCAGCCTCAATAATAAGAAAGCCCCACAGCTTTTATTCTAACCACAAGTTCCATACCCTATGGAGTATTCTCAGATGATACAAGATCTACCTCAATGGTCATGAAATATGTGTATTACGGGAGGAATGGGCCATGTGCAGTCTGGTAAAGTGCACTGGTTTTGCTTTAACGTCAAAAGGCCTGACATTATTGCCTTTTTGTTCGTAACCATGTAGGATTCCGACATTGAAGCGACCTTGACAAGCTTATCAAGGGGAAGATTTATAGGCCTGTGGTTTATATTTATATTAGTGGGCGCGTAGCGAGGGGTCTATTATTAGGCCTTGCGTATCGACATTGGTTAAATACATAGATAGAACCTGGGAATCTGAATGTTGCATAAACTGGTTTCATATTGAGCAATTTCTTTCTCTTAAGCCATTGTTCAATGGTAAATCCACTGGATTTAGCCAGACGATCCAATTTCAGCCCTATCATGCTCTGATGGACCCCATGTGAGGCTGAGTCCAGAGAAGATAAGAATAGAAATGGAATGATGTGGCTAGGGCGCCTATATACAATAAGCCTATGTACTTATACTTCATATGGAATAGTTACTCCATAATTCATAAGTCGTCCTTACATGTACTTGATACAAAGAGGGAAACTTGCACAGCCACAAGGTCTTGCTGCGAGCCGTCCCTAGTGAGGCTCCGTGAAAAGCGGAGCATTTTTCATCCTGTTTCTTCTTTGAACAAGGCTGACAGGCCGGGATTACTGTCATAGTCTAAGATTGTCTTATTGGTGTTCTTATTAGTCTTGCATAAAATCATAAGTGGAGGGATGCGCCCGGCGCTTGTTCAGCTGTTCCCCCCTCATCTCCGACTGATCTTCCGGCCCCCATCGCTTTTTTTTTAAAAAAAAATTGAAATCTTCTCTTTCATTTACTCTTTGATCCCTGATTCTCAACTTTTAACTCTATTATTTGGGATTCCATCCAAGCTTTACCTTGTGTATTTCAAGGTTGGGGGCCGTCACAGACTACGGGACATCAAGGTGATCAGAACAGGACAGCAAACATACCTGGGAAACCACCTGGGCATCTCCAATATAATCGCAGACCTGCTTGCATAGATTATACAATCACCTCACTCGATGCTTTTTTAATCGGCTTAACCATTTGATACCTCTCGTTTTCGCGGTCAATCTTAGGCTAATTGACCGCCATTTGAAGATGTCGCGCGCCTCCCCACCCAGCACTCAGGGGCAATCCCCAGATGCCATCCAAGATCGATATGCTCCAGATCCTTACCTTTCAGCCGCGTCCGATCCAGAGGAAATCTTCTTTCAAGCCAGTGCCATTCGACTAACGCCGCGGGGGAGTCCTGGGAACAGTGCGGGACCTGGTTCGTCCCCTCATGAGGACGCTCGGATCGACTCCACAATCCAGGGCTATTTGGACCCGAGAGCAAATGAGTATACCGACCCCAGCACTTGTACCTCCCCTATTTCTGATACAAGTGTCTTCGTGGAGCCAAAATATATCGAACTGGGTAGTGGTTCGACCTGGCGGAATGGAGACCTGCCATCGTACAATGTGCCCGTCAATCCGGCATGGGCTTCATCCATGGCACCCAATGTCTTTCAGTGGACGAGCTCAGTTCACAATTCGAATACAAGTCCACCATCCACGCTGGCAGGTCTAGAGCCTCAAGGCAATTCTAGCACGCAGCAATCAATCCCCACCTCGTACCAGTCTAGGCTTGGTGTCTTTAGTGTAGGCACCGAGCCATCTAGACTTGGTGTCTTGGCTAACGAGGAGTTGACCACCGAGCTGGCATCGAGCGCAACCAGGGGAAGAAGCCCTGTCTTCAAGATTACAACCTTCTCTCGAGGCGATTCGCCCAAGGAACGCAGCACGTCGCCCCAAAGACGTCCCAGCTCCTTTGCACATCTATCTGCTAATCCAAGCGAGCTGGAAGACGAGGATGATAGCGATCATCAGTCGGTCTCGTCTATTCCCGTGAAGCGATCTAAGGATGGCGGATGGATTCCAAATCCATCGACCCAATTAGCTGGCATTGACCCAAGGTCTCGCGGAAACGAATTCGTGCCAAGTCCTAATGACGTCTATGTCCAACGAGAAAGGAACGAGAAAAATGAGGACATTTCCTACTGGTCTGTCTCTGTGAGTGCAGCCAACAGTGATGCTGACGGGGACTCGCCCAGTCCACCGCGTCCACGCCCACACCATATTTCCAGGAGACTTCGAGCGAGGAGTACTGGTGATCACCCTTTGAAACAAGAAGATTATTTCAACTTAAAATCTCGGACCGGAGATGGATCATTCCCTGGGCCCGGAGTATTGGTTCATGAAAGCAGCGACAGTCTCAGCGAAGATGAAGCAAGCATTGGCACTTACTCTGACGAACCCTCAGCCAATGTAGATGAACCTGGCAGATATGATCGCAGCACCCCCGAGGTCTACTCATCTCTCTCGCCGACGAAAGCTGATGAAAGTATCCGTCTTTACCCCTGGCATGATCCCCCTCGCGATGCGACGCCCAGATTGCAAGCGATGCAGCCGGATAGCTCTACCGACGCCATGATAGCTTTTAATAGACGTGTACGGGATCTTGAAACGGCATCGCTCGCAGCAACAATTGATACTAATAGTATTATCAATGTTGCCACATCTCTCGAGAACCTTTCCTTTACCGAACAACCCAAGAAACGCACTAGTCTCTTTAAGCGTCAATTTTTGCAGGCATCCTCAATTCTAAAGCGTCAAGCATCTGACCTTTCTATCGGTCAATCTAATAGCTATCCCGGCCCTTCGCAGCGTGATACAGTGGACCCACCGGCAAAGCCGAGTTACTCACCACGGAATGGGTTCTTACACCGTCGTCATTCGCGGTCGCCAAGCTTAAGTGACGCACTTCTTTCAATGACCAGCCAAATGGCGGCTGTCGGGGGCAGCCAGCCTGTCCGAGCAGTGTCGCCTGCACCCTTATCGAATCCGGAGAGGAGTTCCTTGAACATCCAATTTAAGGGCCGAGGTCGAAGCAGAAGCGAGATCCCCCGACCAAGTAGTCCCGGGCTAATAAATCTCATGACCGCTCATGGTGGACCGCCAGTTCCAAACATCACATCGCCTCGAGTCAGTTCAGACGCCGACCAAACGCCCAGAAGCACACCGATGGGCCCTGAAACCGGAGGCGCTGAAGATGAGAACGATGTTGACACCGGCAATAACAAAGGCGTGGTTATGGATTTCCCTGCTGTTCAGAGTCTCCCAGTGCCAACAATCGAAGGGTTCAGATCGCAGATCATGCAATTGAATCCAAGGCTTGAGCCAGCTTTGATTCACCGCCTGGCACACGAGCAGAATCGTCGATACAAGATCTTGGTTGGTTTGCAGCAGAAGCATTCTATTGCAACTGCCAACCACACGTGTAAATCTGGCAACTTTTGTACTGTTCAGGGAGGGCAACCTACTCTGTTGCATGACCTCAAAGGCCCCAACGAGCCCGAGGAAGGACAGATCCAATTCCAAGTGACAAATTTCAGTTATGCGCACGAGCAACAGTACACTTCAGGCGATGGTACGGGGGCCGCAGCACAGTTCCCTTCTGGTGTGCCCCTTCCGCCAGTCAGTCGTCTTCCCGCTCGGTTTGAATGTCCCATTTGCTTCGAAGTAAAAACGTTCCAAAAACCATCCGACTGGTCCAAACACGTACAGGAAGATGTGCAGCCATTTACTTGCACATTCCCTCACTGCACCGAGCCCAAGTCATTCAAGCGTAAAGCAGACTGGGTTCGCCATGAGAACGAGAAGCACCGGCACCTAGAGTGGTGGACCTGTACATTCCTCGAGTGCAACCACAGATGCTATCGTAAGGACAATTTCGTTCAGCATTTGGTCCGGGAACACAAAATGCCAGAGCCCAAGATCAAAAAGATGGGGAAAGCCTCTAGTACTGGGGATGCTGAGACTGTGCCGACTAGCCGAAGGGAGCAGGAGCTTGAGCGATTATGGCAAATGGTCGAAGAATGTCGGCATGACACCGCCCAAGCTCCCCAGGAGGAGCCATGTCGCTTCTGTGGGAATGTCTGTAACGAGTGGAGAAAGTTGTCAGTCCACCTTGGCAAACACCTGGAGCAATTAGCCTTGCCCGTTTTACGGTTAGCGAAGCCGAGCAATACCGCAACCCATGTCGCCAATCCCAGCCAAGTGGAGCCGACTCGTAGATCATCCGCCGCAACCTATCCTTCTGTCGCGCCATATCACCATGGACACGAAGGTCCCGAATTGGCCTCCACACATCTGCAGCCACAGTATGCGATCCGAAACACTAGCACGCCCGCTAACCCTGTGTTCTCAATCAACAACGTTCCGCTGGCTAATTACTCCACTATATCTGGCGGCGAACTTTCTATGGAGCCAGAGTCCATCTCGGACTCTCTTGCCTCTGATCAGTTCCCAGCATATACACACGCGACGGGTCAATTTGGTCAAACTACGCTCCACCCCGCTCAGGCCCAGGCCTATACCCTACATCAGAACTCGGTGACGTACCCACCGCCTTATAACGCAGTTCCGAGATCGAGATCCCCGGAGGTAGATGCCATGCTGCAGCACTCGTATCCTCTCGCCCAGTTTCTCCCTCATTCCTCTCTGTACCCCGCAGATGGGAATTACCCGGCTTACCAAACTATGGAGTCTAACATTCCCTACACTTCGGCAACCTACTCTTCTGGATGTCCCTCCCGAATGTGACTATAGATACTATTCTCCCTTGATATCCCCCCCTTCAACTTCTTTTTTCTCCCCTTTCTTTACTGCCTATTCCCCTCATCTATTCTGCTGCCAGTTCTTCCATATCAGCTGTATTGTAATAAAGGATTCGTGATCATTAGTAATTGCTGTACCTTTTTTCTTTTCCTAGCATCAAACAGATGCTATGCAAGCAGGTCCCAATCTTATGCATTTCCGGAATGATGGTTATGATAATGATTTAACCTGATTTTCTTTTTTTTAACATGTGCAATCTCTGTACATATTTCGGGGGGGGTTTCGAGGGGGAATTCTGTTTCAGAGTAGCGTTGCTAAACGGCGATGTGCATGGCATATGAGAGATCAGATTTATGTTTTGGCTTTTCCTCTTCTGTACTAGGGCCGTTCCCACTTGGACATATGGTTCCACGGCCCATAACATAAAGTACCCGCTATATCCCGAGATCAATAGTACACTATAGAGTACGGAGTACCTAGGTAGTAATCCGAGACATACACCTTTGGGAATAGTATTTAGCTATGAAGTTAAGTCTATAAAGATCCAATATATCCAACTCGTTTTATCGTCAAACATACCCCTAACTCCTAAACCCGAACCCGAAACCCGAAACTGCATAACATGCTCATATCTTATATAAACGTGCACATTCATCTTATTTATCCCTTGCGCCGCGACATGGCAAGCGAATATCGCTGCCGATCAGGCATGTCGATCGTCTGTCCTGTCACAGCCCAATCTGGTCCTTGCTTCCTTGCAGCCCCCTCCTCCCCTTTGGGGGCATATCGTAAGATCTTCATGAGGGGCTGAGGTTGTCTTGCATGCCTCGTGCAGGGGGACTAACGACATTATCTGTGAGCGTGGTGGTGGGTGTGTGATACGTTTTCTACTACTCCGCACTCCTTATATATCTGAAATAATGGCAGAAGCGGGCCGAACCAACCCCGGGAGATGAGTATCGGTGGCCGATCATGAACCCGACGAGGCTTGGGATTAAGGTGATTTGATCTAGGGCCGTAATTGGAGGTTAACTATCAGCCCCATATTGTGTAAGATTATCATCACACAATTTACTCCGTAGCCCTATACTCCATACGGAGTACTCCGTACAAATTATAGTATTTGCCCGGGTAAAGGTGTTGGGGAGGGGGCTGTGGGCTGTGCAATCAAGGGATGACATGTTGCATTCCACGCTGGCAACACGCGAGGGTGAATTTTGTCTTAGCTTTTATCTCTCAAATTTCCGTATTGCTTTTTTTCCTTTCTTTTTCTTTTATATATCATCTTTTGGGGCATATTCCCAATCATGCAGTTTCGGTTAACACATTCCAACCCTTGAATCGCCTATCGCGTGGTGAAGTCAACCGGCTCGGGGCGAGAGTGTGGAGCTTGCGTGTCTCTCTCGCGTGTAGGATTTGGCATTTGCATGCATCGTGAACCTTTTAATACTGTGCCCCTCCCATTTGACTGGCTTATTCTCTCTTGACCTTACGAAATTGACCTTTTTCTTTATAATGGAGGTTCGTGTTCTGCTTATTCTACTCGGCTCTCCATAATCAATAATCTAACTCTGCCCTAGGAAACACAGCTGGGCTGGAATGACTCCACAGATGTTCTCCAAGGCATCATGGGCCGACATGAAGGACACGATCCGTCCGATCCTAAATCCTCAAATCTTCCCTTTGACGCCGCAAACCCACTACTAGACCTTCAACTCGGATCGCTCGATCCAACACTTACCCACTCTCTAAGCCAATGGCCTTCACACCCACGAGACCCATACTACTCCCAATACACTCACTCCCGTCTGATAGACAACCAAGATGCCTGGAATCCGCTGCAGGCCACCGGTGTCCCGCCCACCTCGTCCATCTCGCATATGAACATGCCTGCCCAGATATCCGACCAGGATTGCTGCTTCTCGCAACATCACTATAGCGAGCCCTCTGAAAACGGGAGTCAGTACATGGATAGCTACTCTGCTGATTCTGGATACGGTGGTACCAGCTGTACAACACAATCTGTTGTTGCTTCTTCATACAGCGTGGATTCATCGAGCCCCCAGATCGACATAACAGACAACATGTCCGCCGAGTCAAGGCCTCTGTTTGATCGTCCCCAGTATGGCTCTGTGTCTGAGGCATCGTACACATCAGAGTTTATAGACTCCCCGTCGCAGCTGGTTGATGTCTCGATGCGATGCGAACATCCGTCGTGCAAGTGGGTTGGGAAATGCCCATCGGACAAAAGGTACGTCCTTGTAGCTCCGAATTGAGCCTTGTGATGGCAGAAACTAACTCACGCAGGAAACACGAGGCTCGCCACAAGAAGCTCTTTAAATGTGACGTTCCAAATTGCCCGCGCAAGGACGGGTTTGGTACCATTAATGATCTTGCCCGTCATAAGAAATGCGTTCACAATAAAGAGCCCGAGCGTGGGCCCAAGATGATGTACATGTGTTTCGGGACAAACTGCCCGCGCCCGAACAAAAGGTGGCCGCGCCTAGATAATTTCAAGCAACACCTGAACCGCATGCATAATGAAGAGGATGGGGAGGCCCTCTTGAAAAAGTGAGTTTTAAAATAAGGTAATTCAATTTTCCAACCATTAATTTATGAGCAGGTCCATGGATTGGTATGAGAGAGTCATCCGCCGCCAACCAGAGCAGAGCTGCGACGACCATAGCTCAAGAGATGAGTCAGTATTCGAAGCGCAAGAAGACGAGGCGTCCGTCCAGCCGACCACCGAGCTCGAACTGGAATATGGTGCAATGTCGCAACAAAAGTCTGATATCTTCACGTTTGGTGTTGCCACGCCGAGACCCCCTCAGTATGGTACACCCTCTCTTGCAGACTCACCGTCTCAGTTTCCCGCTTTTGGCTATCTGGGTCTGTCAAAAACTAGTCAAGATGTTTCCGCTGAACGCGGAATCGCAAAGCCCGATGGATCAGTTATAGACGTGGCTGATAACTTAATTAACGCCATGACGAAAATGATGAACAACCGCGGGCGGAGATTAAGTCAAAATATCGACGAGGGGGTTGACCTCGAAACCGACGCTACTCGCCTCTCCCAGCCCCAGCGGCAAATGCTGCAGAAGGTGCTTTCGGTGGCTTTGGAAAGGTTATCCGACGACAACGAAACCACTGTACAAGATCCAGATAGCGAAAAACGTGGTTGGTTCCAATGTGACGTGTGCCCAAAGCAGACCCGGCTTCGCTGTGAAATGAAGTAAGCCACCCCGAACTATTTTGTATTCTTATCAGGGTATTAACTATATCCGTCATCAGGAAGCATCAGAAACGTCATGAAAGACCCTACGGCTGTACGTTCCCTCACTGCGCCAAGTCCTTTGGTAGCAAAGCCGATTGGAAGCGACATGAGACCTCCCAACATCTTGGTGTGCCAAGTTGGTTCTGCACAAAACACGATGTGCAAACAGGTGCCTCGTGCGAACGACTGTTCGATCGACCCGAGATATATATGCAGCACCTGCGCCAGCATGGAATTCATGAATATGAAGTCGCAGCTTCGGCTAGCCATAACCGGCTTGATCTGGAGGGTCAGTCGCATTTCTGGTGTGGATTCTGTAATCGCAGAGTCCCACTAACGAACCATGGCTCTGAAGCCCTGGATGAGAGATTCAATCATATTGATATTGAGCATTTCAAGAAAGGAGAGAGGGGTCAGGACTGGCGGTTCCCGTCTTCATCGCTCGATGGGGACGAGATGGACCAGACCAAGGCTACTGCCATACAGAGGTTTGACTATAGCCGGAAGGCTGCAACGACTGGAGAGCGGAAGCGCAAGTATGCTGCAGCATGACATGTTGGGTTTTTGGATATCGGCATCCCAATGCCGTAATATAATCGGAATATTCTGCAATGTTTGGTTTATTGGGACCATCAAGACAAGACAATGAATGTATCTCCAATTTTGAAAGTGCCATGGCATTATTCAAAGCCGCAATATAATATGGTACATGTTTTTTTCTCCAAGATTTTCTCAAGATGCATTTCATTTCTGGGTGCTGGTTATCTCTCGAGCCTCCTTCTCTAGCACAGCCACTTTCTCTGCAGGAAGGGTGAGCAAGATGGAATGGGGCGATGCATTAATTTTCGTTGATCTCACCATTCTTTGCCACCTTAATCTCATCCATCTCTAACTTCAACCAGGTCCAATAAAGAACTTGATAGACGAACACGCCCCCCAAGAAGACCTTGGCAAAGGGACCAGTAAAGGTTCGATATTGATTCATCTAGATAGAAAATCAGAACATTTCAATTTAATACTGCTGTCTGTTAAAATATATACAGACCCCTTCCTTATATGCACTTGGCTTCTGAGATGAGTTGAATATGGCTTGTGTGGAGGTGAAGGTACGCCGGCCCATTGGAGCTCGAGCGGATTGGAAAGTCATCAGGGCCGGTGTAACCCGATGAGCTATTTGTGAAAACATATTCTGATTTTAAGAAGTGGTTGCTTTCTTTCTCGTTGTTGATCGAGGTGACAAGCCAGGGTGATGTCGAAGTTCGTGTTCCATTTCGGGTACGGTCTTGGCGTTGATTCCTCAGGTGTCAATCCATCACCATTATATCGTCTCCTTCTCTTTCTCTCGTAATTATATAGGCTATATCAAAAGTAAGTCGAGCTACAAGCTATTTAGTCGATCTCAAAGCCAATTAAATAGCTTTTAGCTGGCACATATTTGCTAGAAATGGGGTGGAAAGAATCTGTACTTTACTCTCGAGTGATTCTCGCGGCATTACATATGTAAATATGGGTTCAAGTCTGGGCGTCTGATCATGTATACTTATGATCGAGTTTATTGTTTTGGGCATCGACGCTTGACCACTGAATGATGTGGTATTTACAAAGTCCATGATGTAGATAATGTATGGTTCCAGATTAACTTCATTTTGGGTTCATTCATCTCCAAAAACCTATCCTCCAGTATCTTCTGCGAGATGGAGTCTTTGGGGATTAAACCCTATCAAGTCTCAAAACGAGGGAAATATGTGTGCGAAATCAAACCTGTGTACATCAAAGGCACCTGAAAAGCTCGTTGTCCCTTCAATCTGGTTGTGCGGCTAATTATTGGTGGTCAGGGCAATCTCATCCAGCCTATCCTATCATCTCAACGTCATCCTCCCCCTGGAAGCTGATATTCGATTCACGGGATTCATTTGAATCCTCATGTGAGTGTGTCTGGCGGGAGGGGCGCTTTAGAGATGGTGAGAACTCGGGATATCTAACTAACTACATAACTAACTAAGTACTAGTCTGGGCAGCACGAGCCACTGCTGAGTCAGCGGCACATGATATCAGGTCCAGTCGAAAGCATCGCAGAAAAAAAGGTCAACCAAAAGGAAAAAACAATGGGCCCTATTCTCGTCTTCTTGTCCCTAATTACTCTCTGACAACCTCCTATCATCATTGTATCATGTCATTTCCCCATCTCCATCAATCCTGAATGTTGCCGTATCGGGGCATCAAAATGATTAAAAGAATCTATTTAATCTATCTAGGAGGAGAATGAAGCCCTACAATATCTTGTCATGGCAGCTTGGTTCATGGGCTGAAGGGTGACAATGGCTATTGAAGCAATTCCCCCCATTGAGAGATGGGTGGCACGTGCGCCTTCTTGACTAATGGGTGCGCCACAATAAGTGGCTGACCCATTCAAGCCAGTCAGCCCCAATGAGCGCGAGTCCTTTCCGCCCTTCTTCCCTGAAGTCTTTGTTCCTCGAGTTCCCATCGTCTTCTATTTTCTTTTACTTTCAACAATTCCTTCCGTGTATTGCGCATTTGTCCTGGTGGCTGATAGCTTTCCAACACTTTTGTTTTCTCACGCGTTCCCGAGTCCGTGAGACCCTTCCACCTCTCCCCCAATTGCGCTCCACCACCGTGCCGTCTCCGCTAACATATTGATCAGCAATTGTCGGGAAGAAAGTGTCAAGGCTGTTGCCGTAACAGGCAGGTTTTTTTTCCTTTGATCGAGTGGTCCAGCTGTTGCTGGCGACAACTGAACCATTCGTAAGTGTTGTCCCTCCTACCCGCATTGCGAAACGTCGACGACCCGTCTTTTCACCTCTTTGTATCATGCTCGTCATCTTTGCCTTTGACCCCATTCACTGTGTCATCATTGTATACCCCAGATTGAAATGGTTTGTGCTGACCTTGGGCTTTCAAAGTGATCCCCTAATTCCCAATACTGCGCCATGGCTCGTGGCGCAAAGCGTACCCTGGACGAGGCCGCCAACAAGTCCGACTCCGACGACGAGGACTACAGTGACCACGCTCGCTACTCACGTTCGACTGGCCGAAAGTCGAAGCCCAGCCCCAAGAAAAAGTCGCGGTCCGCCCCAAAGAAGAGACGGCGCAGCTCAGACGACGGTCTCACCTCGGACGAGGAAGAACTGTCTGAGGATTTTGACTTCGACGAGGTGGAAGAAGAATCGGAGGAGGAAGTTGAACGCAATGTTAGAGGAACAGCGCGTCGACGAACCACCCAGAGCCGTCGCCCGCACTACGAGGAACCCGACTCGGATGACGGGCTAGTCGATGATGATGGCGAGAATGAGACTCGAGCTCCTCCACGCAAGAACACCGTTCTCAAGTTGAAACTCCCGCCTAATTACTTGGCTTTCTCCAAACGTGTAACCCGTCGTACCCGTGACGCTTCTGAGGATATCTATGCCCTTACCAACTCCGGTCGTCATATACAGACCGTTGAGCGAGGTACACATACTCCAGAAGCCGAGATTCCAACCCCGTCTCGCCGCATTGCTAGAGTCGACCGCATGGCCAAGCGTACGATCGTTGATGAAGAAGATGAAGACGCTGAACACGCCGAAGAACATGAGGATACCGAGGAGGTCATCAACGAAACGACTATTCAGGGCTCGCAGATGGAGATAGTTGAAAGTGACTTGCCTCAAGGCGACGCTGAAGGTTTTACATTGCCAGCGAATGATGGAGACCACGATCCAATTGACGAAGAAATGCCGGATGAAGACGTTGTCCCTGAATCGGAAAATGGCGATGCGAAGAATGACCATTCCGAACATCCCGATGAAGTCCTAACATCTCGACAACGAGGCAGGCTCTCCCGCGGGCAACCTATGGAAGAGAATGTCACGGAAGACGTGGAGACGAATGAAGAGTCGCAGCTACGTCGATCCAGTCGTAAGCAGCCGTCTCGAAGCTCACAGCGCAAAAGCAAAAATGAAGAAAGTGATTTTGAGCCAGAGGAAGAGCCGTCGAATGACGAGGAGGAAGACTCGGAGTCTGAATCGCGTCGTGCCTCTCCTCGCAAAGAAATGCAAGCTCGCGAGGAAGCCGAGGATAGTTCTGCCAGTCGGCGCCCTGGCCTGCGCCAACGGCCTTCTCGAACCCGTGCCCCCTCAGAGGAAGCTGAAGAACTCGCTGAAGAATTGGAAGACCTTACTGGCCGTGCCCGTCGTCGTGCGAAACAAGCAGTCGTGTACGAGAAACCGCGTCGCAACCGCAAGGACGTTGATTATCGTATTATTCGACCTGAAATACTTCAACCTAATGAAGACACCGACAACGAAGTGACCGGATCTCCATCCCGACGTGGTCGTGGAGGTGGAGGCGGAGGTTGGCAGCGTACTTTGTTCTCCACATTGGGCCCATTCGGTGGTGGTGGTAATTCAGCAATTCTCGGGGTTCCTGGGGGTCCTACTGCGGTCGGAGGAGCGGACAGCGATAGCAGTGACGATGAAGGTGCCCAACAGCTAAATCGCACTGGTCTTGTTCCTGGTGTTGGAGTTGCAGCCACTCACAACCAGTCGGCTGACCCTGCTCAGAACTCTTCTGGCACGCCTGCAAACCTCGGCAAGTTCAATAACAAGCAGGCTTTGGCTGATGCGGATCCCCTGGGGGTTGATATGAATGTTAACTTTGACCATGTTGGTGGTTTGCAAGGGCACATTGACCAGTTGAAAGAAATGGTTTCTTTGCCGCTGCTGTACCCAGAAATCTTCCAGCGTTTCAAAATTACTCCTCCTCGTGGTGTTTTATTCCACGGTCCTCCTGGTACCGGAAAGACGCTTATGGCTCGGGCTCTAGCTAACAGTGTCAGCTCGGAAGGACGCAAAGTCACATTCTACATGAGAAAGGGCGCGGATGCATTGAGTAAATGGGTCGGTGAGGCTGAGCGTCAGCTTCGGCTTCTTTTTGAAGAAGCTCGCAAGAACCAGCCTAGTATCATCTTCTTTGATGAAATTGACGGTAAGACGGGCCCCTTTGAACGCATTGTTTGTAGTCGCTAATATTCTATATCAGGCTTGGCTCCCGTGAGATCGAGCAAACAAGAACAAATCCATGCCTCGATTGTCTCAACTCTACTTGCATTGATGGACGGCATGGATGGTCGTGGTCAAGTGGTTGTCATCGGTGCTACCAATCGACCTGACTCTGTTGATCCTGCTCTTCGTCGCCCTGGTCGTTTTGACCGCGAATTTTATTTCTCGCTGCCTAATATCGAGGCACGCCGTGCTATTCTCGATATTCACACCAAGGAATGGGATCCTCCTCTTCCAGACAAGATCAAAGATGAACTGGCGGATATGACCAAGGGTTATGGCGGTGCTGACTTACGGGCGCTTTGTACTGAGGCTGCAATCAATGCCGTACAAAGAAGATACCCGCAGATCTACAAATCAGACCAAAAGCTCGTGATTGATCCGAAGTCAATCGATGTCGCCCCCAAGGATTTTATGCTGGCAATCAAGAAGATGGTTCCCTCTTCAGAGCGATCTACCTCATCTGGTGCAACTGCCCTCCCTCCGAACATTGAACCCCTGCTTCGTCATCCATTGTCCGAAATCAAATCTTTGCTATCCGAAATTCTTCCACAGCGAAAGAAACTTACTGCTCTCGAGGAGGCTCAATACGAGGAGCCTGATGATGGTGCAGGCTTCACCCGAGAGCTCCTTTTGCAGGAGTTTGATCGCTCGCGTGTCTTCCGACCCCGACTGCTCCTTCGGGGGCCCCACGGCATGGGTCAGCAATACCTCGCGGCCGCGCTACTGCATGTGTTTGAGGGTCTGCATGTGCAAGCCTTCGATCTCCCCACTTTGCTGAGTGACTCAACCCGCTCCCCCGAGGCAGCTGTCATCCAGCTGTTTACGGAGGTCAAGCGACACAAGCCGAGTGTAATTTACATTCCCAACATTCAACTGTGGCTCCAAACTGTCGGACCTACTGTGATTTCTACTTTCATGAGCCTTCTGCGGTCGGTGCCACCTTCTGATCCAGTTCTTTTGCTTGGTATCGTTGAATCACAAGAAGAGGAAGTAGATGATAGTCTACTGAAGAACATGTTTGGTTTTTCCAAGAAGAATTTGTATGATCTATCTGCTCCAAATCATGACGCTCGTCGTGAATATTTTGGAAAGATCATTGAATTCGTCAAAACTCCTCCGAAAGGAT